AAAAAGATTTTATTTATTATAGAGAGAGGAAGAGAGAGGGAGAGAGAGAGTGAGCAGCGGGGAGGGGCAGAGGGAGAGGGAGAAACAGACTCCCCACTGAGTGGGGAGTCTGATCCGAGGACCCTGGTATCATGACCTGAGCTGAAGTCAGAGGCCCAACCGACTGAGCCACCCAGGTGTCCCTCTCAATTTTAATTTTAATTATAACATGGTAAGTATTGATATATGATGCATATAAACAGAAACTCCTTGAAGTTCTCAATAATTTTTAAGATTGTAAAAGTGGTTATGTCATCAGAAAGTTTGAGAACTGCCAGCCTGAAAATATACCATCTTTTTAGAATGGCAAATGGACCCATAAGGAACTGGCAAATGTTTCTCTCTATAGTCTAGCATCTTTCTGCCTATTTTCCATTTTTGACCTGGCAATCCTGTTGCTAGTTGTTTATTATAAGAATAATAAACTGAGATTTATGCAAAAGTATATTTATGGTGATACATTCTATTATTATTTATTAATATTTACAGTGGTAAAATAAATTGGAAAAGAAGATTTACTTAAATAAATTAGAGCATATATAGACCATGAATTATGCAGCCAGAACAAAATGCATGTTTTTAGAGTAGAGTGGCATAAGGAAATGTGTATGATTTGTAAAATTATAAAATTTTGTAAAATTCAGATTATAAAACATTATTATAGGATGATTACATATTTGTTTAGAAAGAAAAGAATTGCATATATGTGATATTATGTGATAAATTGGCAGAATACATGATAAAATATTTATTCTTTTTTTTAAAAAAAGATTTATTTATTTATTTTAGAGAGAGAGAGTGTGAGGAGGGGCAGAGGGAGAGAATCTCAAGCAGACTCCCTGCTGAGCACAGAGCCCTACGGGGCTGGATCTCAGGACCCTGAGATCATGACTTGACCTGAAACCAAGAGTTGGACCCTTAACCACCCAGGCACCCCGATAAAATATTTATTCTTGGATAGTTTTATTTCTGGACTGTAATCCTATTTTTCCTCTTTTGCTTTTTTCTGTATTTTCTACAACAAAAGTATATTATCTTTGTAGTCAGGAAATAAAATCCAGTCCCATAGTATATTACCAATAAAACGTGCCACTGGAGAAATAATCTGGACTTAGATTAAAGGCAATAGCAGTAGGCAGGAATGAATTTTCCAAATATTTTATATTAAATACTGTTTATAGTTGGTTTAATAAGTTTATGGACCCTTTGTTAGGACATAATCTTATTATTTCAACGGGTAAATGAGCAAGTCACTCTTCTTAGAAGGCCTTCTGTAACTCTGAATTTGATTGACATGCAATCAGGACAGTCCAGTAAAAATATTTGGTAAATGTTAGAGATAGAGACTGGGTCATTTTTATTTATTAGGACATGTTCTGAGAAACCCTAATTTTTGGAATTTCTTAGCTCATTTTAACTTAATATATTCATTGAAAAGAATAAAACTTTGGTGTGGGCGCCCGGGTGGCTTAGTCATTAAGCGTCTGTCTCAGCTCAGATCATGATCCTAGGGTCCTGGGACCCCGCATCAGGCTCCCTGCTCAGCGGGAAGCCTGCTTCTCCCTCTCTTGTGTTCCCTCTCTTGCTGTGTCTTTCTCTCTGTCAAATGAATAAATAAAATCTTTAAAAAAAGAAAAAGAATAAAACTTTTGTGTTAAATCAGATTCTTGGCATTTGTTGACCATTTAAGATCTGACTTCTAATCCTGGCTGTACTACTTAACTAGTTATTGACACTATGCAAATTATTTAACTTTCATTAAACTTTAATGTTTTCCTCTGTAACATGAGGATGATAATACTACAGAAATTACCTTACTGGGTTGGTGTGAGAGCTATGAGATACTACACGTAAGGCATTTAGAACATTATCTGTGCTCAGATGTTACCGTCATCATCATTGTTGTCATCAATTCAAATGCGGCTCCTTTGCAGTTAGTTTTGATTCAAATAAGTAGACTTATTCATTCTCTAATATATATGTATACTTCAGAAAATGTAATAAACTACTTAGAGTAAAAATAATTAGGAAACAAAGTTAGCACTGCTATTATGATTGATACGCTATTTTAAAATCATCAGTTGGCATTCATTTGCTGGATTATTTAATTGTGCTTTATTTTGTTAAGGGTAAAAACTTGATTTTCCGTTTGAAATTTTAGGTATCCGTGGGGAAATCAATGTAGTTGTCAAAGTAGACCTCTTCAATGATTTAAATCGATTTAGGCAGTCATCATGTGGAGTCAAATTCTTTTGCAGTAAGTAAATGCATTTTATTTCTCATTTAACAGGAAATTTAATCGTTAAATATAGGAAATCAAATTAATATTTCAGAAAGCTAATGGAAAATCTATCATACTTTGGTTTTAATGCCAAAGAGAAAATTGTCAATTTTTCAGAAACAATTACCATAGCTCTGGGGACTATTTATCTGATTTTAAAGTAAATGAAATCTAATTTTTTACAAGTTCTTAGAAATTTTTGTTAGAATAGTCCATTGGGGCATGAGGTATACATGGTTATCATGACCCTACTCTGCCTTGCACTCTCGCCCCTACTCCAGACTCTGGAAGGAATCACATTAAACATTGCTGGTAACTTATTTGCTTATTGCTGGTAGAAAGAGTGACTGGTGAAGATTTTGGATTTTTTTCCCGAATTTTAAAGAAGAATCCATGTATTAATGAAACAACTTAATCCTGTTTACTTAAATCTTATGTTAGTAATATTGGACCCAAAGGTGGAGAGTTGATTGTAAAAGCACTACATAACAATACAACTCTGAAATACCTGAGAATGACTGGAAACAAGTTTGAAAATGAAGGTGGAATGTGTTTTGGTGGAATGTATTTTGCAGGAATGCTACAAATTAATTCATCCTTAGAGAAATGAGATCGGAATGACTGTGGTCTAGAAATGCAAAATGTGATAGCATTTGCTACAGTCCTAACTGAAAACCAAACAACTAAGGGAATATACCCAAACCTACCTATGCTGTATGGTGAATAGGAGGCGTCCACAGTTCATCTAGGCCACATGCTGAAAGAAAATCACTGCCTTGTTGCATTGCTCATGTGTAAGCATGATATTATAAAACAGTTAGGTGATGCACTGTATCTGAACAGTAGCCTATGCTAACTTGATGTCAGCTGGTTGTCAGTAGTCAGCAACAACATAGGGGGAGATGGGCTTGTACTTTCGTAATCAATGAAAACAAATCCCACTCTCTCTAATATCTACATTTGGGAAAACAAATTCGATGACTACATGTATGATATAATCAGACTTAATTCAAATTCAAATCATACAAATTCAGATTCAAATTCAAATGGGCCATCTAAAATTAGGTAATACAGATACGGAGCTATTTGTGGTGGGTGGACATGTGTATTTTGCGGAAGTCTCCAGTGGCCTTAAAAAGCATTATTATCAGACATCAACTTACGGAGAAGCTTGCAGCACTCATCTAATGCAGGTTTTACTCTTTTTTTTTTTTTTTTAAGATTTTATTTATTTATTCGACAGAGAGAGACACTGCAAGAGAGGGAACACAAGCAGGGGGAGTGGGAGAGGGAGGAGCAGGCTTCCCGCCAAGCAGGAAGCCCAATGCGACGCTTGATCCCAGGACCCTGAGATCATGACCTGAGCCGAATGCAGATGCTCAACGACTGAGCCACTCAGGCGCCCTTCTTTTTTATTTTTAAAGATTTATTTATTTATTTGAGAGAGAGAGGGAGAACATGCACATGGGGGGAGGGGCAGAGGGAGAGAATCTTCAAGCAGACTCCCCACTAAGCAAGGAGCCTGATGTGGGGCTTGGTCCCAGCACCCTTGAGGTCATGACCTGAGCAGAAACCAAGAGTTGGACCCTTAACTGAAGGGACCATCCAGGTACCCTGCAGGTTTTCCTCTTCTACCGGTAGGTCAATCTCCGTGAAAAACAAGCTCTAAAATATTTCACATATTTATCTTATTTCACAGCAATGAATATTTTATTGCCTATTAAATTTTTCTTCTATAAATTAGAACAAGTTGCCTTGTGAATATGTGAAAGATAAGACTGTATTGAACTTTGTATAACTGTCAAAAAAGAAAAATCCACTGATATTTTATTTTTTTACCTTTATTTATTTTTATTTATTTATTTTTAAAGATTTTATTTTTAAGTAATCTCTAATCTAACATGGGGCTCGAACCCACAGTCCTGAGATCCAAGAGTCATATGCTCCACTGACTGAGCCAGTCAGACTCTCCTTCAGTGGTAATTTAGTAGAAGATGTTGTTAAGATAGGAGCAGAGCACTATAGCCAAACCCTGTGATGCTATCCAAACTTAAATAGGTATCTACAGGTACAGTCCCTCAAGTGCCATGAAACATGGGCTGGCATTGGGCAGATGTAGGCAATCACAGCCAGCCTGGATTAATAGGGTTGAAAACTCCTAAGTAGTTGAGTTAGCTTTAAGGCATGGATGTCTTAGAGACTAATTTGGTGTGGATGTTCTTAGGTTCTCCCTTTGTTTTTTTTGTTTGTTTGTTTTTTTGTTGTTTTGTTTGTTTTTCTATAGGTTATCCCCTTTTTGAATCCGACTAGATCTTATTTTATTTTTTTTAAGATTTTATTTATTTAATTGACAGAGAGAGACAGCGAGAGAGGTAACACAAGCAGGGGGAGTGGGAGAGGGAGAAGCAGGCTTCCCGCCGAGCAGGGAGCCTGACACGGGGCTCGATCCCAGGACCCTGAGATCATGACCTGAGCTGAAGGCAGTCGCCTAACCAACTGAGCCAACCAGGCACCCCCAACTAGATCTTATTTTAAATCTAATGACATTTGGTGTTATTTATATTAAATGAGTTTGTTAAATAGTATAGTGACTACTGAACCAGTTGGCCATATGGCCATGGATTATTGGAAATTGCAGGGCTATATGATTCCTCAGATTATGTCAGAAAGGTAATGGTTTGATTTTTAAGACTGCACTATATGTTGTACAAAAGAACTTTTTCAAAGGGCTTTGAATAAAGTTTTTTGTATTTATTACCCACTTTGTACCTATTTTTATAATGATTACCTAGCTGACATTGATTCTGATTTTTTTTAAACTTTGTATTGAATGCTATTTAAGATTGTCTGTGGCTGTTTTCCAAATTATAAAAATACAATTTCTATCTACTATGTTTATTATGAGAAAAATGAGGTCTCATTAAAGAAAATGATTATTTCTAAGAATAATATGGAATTTAGAAGACTGATTGGAAGTATGACTATTATAATTACATTGAAATTAGCACAGTAAAAAGTCTTCTTGTGTTATGTATCCAAAAGGTAAGAACTTAATTGTACATTTTTTAAAAATTGAATTTAACCTTGTGATAAATAAAAGCATAATAGACAATTTCTTTTAACAGCAACATCTATTCCAAAGTGCTATAGAGCTGTAATAATTCATGGTTTTGTAGAAGAGCTTGTGGTCAATGAAGACCCAGAATATCAATGGATTGATCGAATTCGTACACCAAGGGCATCAAATGAGGCCAGACAGAGACTCATTTCTTTAATGTCAGGTATTTAAAAAAAATAACTTCATTACTGATTTACTTAACACTGTTACATTTTTCACTTCCTTTTGACATGCTACCTGAAATTTTACAGTGAAGGCTATGAATTATATATGACTGATTCTCTACCCTGGCCCCATCTTCCTGAGCATACACACGTTGCCGTCTTATAAGAGGAAATCTGAACCAGAAGCTTATACTTCCTTCTTAACTAGGTAGTAAAAAGAATTTGTGCTCATGAAGTGGCATAGTGGAAAGAACCCTGAGCAAGGAAGTAGGAAACTGGGTTCTAGTTTTCCTTCCTCTAGCATTTATTTGTAGTCAGAGCTTAGGTAATCTCTCTATTGTTTTTTGTTGCCTTTTCTTTTTTCTTTTTTTTTTTTTAAGATTTTTTTTATTTATTGGGCAGAGACATAGCAAGAGAGGGAACAAAAGCAGGGGGGAGTGGGAGAGGGAGAAGCAGGCTTCCCGCTGAGCAGGGAGCCCGATGTGGGGCTCGATCCCAGGACCCTGGGACCATGACCTGAACTGAAGGCAGACGCTTAACGACTGAGCCACCTAGGTGCCCCTTTTGTTGCCTTTTCATAGTCCTTCTCTGACAACTTGTTTTAGCTCCCTGTACTTCTCCCTGCCATTCTTACCCCATTACTTTTCTTTATTTTTCTTTGAAGAACTTGTTTATCATTTTAAATTTTATATGTATATATATGTGTGCATATATATGTATATATACTCACATATGTATATCAGACAATAAATAAGTATAAATGTTATATTTAATAAATATAAATATGTTGTACTTATGTATAATAAATTTATGGTTTTAACTATAAAATATAAATACATTTATATTAATATATCAATTACATTTTAATATTTATAAATCAGTATAAATATATTTATACTTAATATAATATAAAATGTTATATTTAATATATTAAATAATATATCTTTTTTGTTCACCTCTGTATTTCTAGCACTTAGAAGAAAGGAAGAATGCCAGGCACATAGTAAACAACCAAAAATTATTTGGTAAATGAATGCATGAATGAGTGAATCTTAATTTGCCACATCTGTAAAATGCAACTAGTAATGTCTTACCTCCCTGAAATTAGGAGGCTGGAGCAGATAATCTTTTAGATTCTTTTCAAGTTTTAAAAATCTGTGATTTTTTGACTTTTTTTTTATTGCTACTATATCCAACTTTATATTATGTAATGTGAAGACCTGAAGCAGAATGAGTTTGCTTCCTTTTTTTTGTAGGTGAACTGCAGAGGAAGATTGGCTTGAAAGTGCTTGAAATGAGAGGAAATGCAGTTGTTGGGTACTTACAGTGTTTTGATCTGGAAGGCGAATCTGGGTTAGTGGTACGAGCCATAGGAACAGCGTGTACACTGGATAAACTAAGTAGCCCAGCAGCATTCCTTCCTGCATGTAATTCCCCATCCAAAGAAATGAAGGAGTAAGTATGAATCAATGAATCGTTCTTATGGAGCTTTTTATCTTTTACCTATATGTTTTCATTTGATTTGAAATATTCTAGTGGATTTGTTTAACATACATTTTTTGTTATGGTGATTTTTTTTTCTTATGGTAATTTTTACTATCAGAGATGACTATGAAAATCTGAAGCTTTAATCTATTTAGCGATTCCTAATATTTTATTTATACTGTCTTAATATGAAATTCAAGTTAGTAATGTAAACTAAACTTATTTCAGATCTTTAGGCACTATATATTTAAAGCGTAAAATGGGTATTTATGGAATTTTTACTTATTCTTTGGGGAATGCTTAAAACCCATTATTATACCTGATAATCCAATTATGCTTATTATTAGCAACATAGTATAGAAAGGAAAAGTATAGCAGGAAAGATTGACCTGTGCTGGGGTCTCATGCAAATGTCTATAGAGGCCAGACCATTTATATAAATAAAATAATTCAGTATAATTAAATAGGGAGTATTGAGGACTGTGTAAAGCAAATGTTGGCAAACTTTTTCTGTAAAAGGCTGGATAGTAAATATTCCATGCTCTAGCCATATAGTTTCTATCTTTGTTTACCAGAAAAAGGAGTTTGCTGATCCTGATCTAAAGGAATTTAGGCTCATACATTTTTTAAAAAACTGAGTGTGATTCAACAAAACACTTTGGTTGACTGGATTTGGCTTATGTGTTATCATTTTTGTCTAAGGCAGAAGATTCTCAACGTGGTGGGGTGGTGCTGTCTATAAGGAAGGTTTAAAATGAAAATTTTCTGTCATAATGATTGGGGTGAGGAAGATACTGGTTGGGGACTATAAATGCTGATTGTTGTATACAGCAAAGGACAACTCTGTACAATGAAGACTTGTTCCAGCGTAAGTGTCAGTAGTACTTCCATTGAGACCCACTGATTTAGAGATTCTTTTAGATCAAGGGTCAACAAATTTTTTTTGTAAATGACCAGAAGATACAGGTAAATAATAATTTAGTCTTTGCTAATAACTACTCAGCTTTGCCATTGTAGCATGAAAACAGCCATTGACAGTGTGCAAATAAGTGAGTGTGGCTGTGTTCCAATAACACTTGATTATTTACAAAACAGATGCAGGATGGATTTGACCTGTAGGGTATAGTTTGCTCACCCCTGCCCTGTATCATCAGGGAGTCAGAATTCTGTAGTCAGAAAACCTGAAATGCTTCCCAGATTAACAATAGTCAAGAGAGGTTGACTAGAAAACAATCACGATCCTTTTTAAAAAAAAAAATTTAATTCCAGTATAATTAATATAGTGTTCTGTTAGTTTCACATGTACAATATGGTGATTCAACTTTTTTTTAACAATATTTTTAAAGATGAGATTTTCCTCTTAAGCTTGTTCTTTTTGTCTAATTATTTCCTTTCTGTTGGCCTTTAGTTGTGTAGATTAAATTTTAGTCACAAGAGGGAGCACAGTATTATATATATTGCCTGATTTTATTGGGAAATACCTTGACAAGTGAAATAACTTGTTTTAAATAAATTGAAGAGTGAATTTGCTTTATATTCCATTTAAGATATGTTTTAACAAGATATGAATTGTCTGCTGCCACAGGTAAAGTCAGATTGCAGGTGTAACTTTTTGAGGGATTCAGTTTTTATTTTCTTTTTCCACACCAAATTTAAGTAAAGACTTGGGTCCCTCCTTCTCTTGCCGTCCTCCAGCTTTACCTAAGTTGCCTGAAGGGGCCTGGCTTTTGCAGCTGTGATGTCTGAAGTTTTCCTCTTTTCACTAAATTATTTAGTAGAAAGAGAATATTATATTGTCTGTTGGTGTCTTAAAATGATATATTGATAGTAGTGGAATATATTTTGCCTACATTTAGGAATAGTTCCATTAATGTAAATCTTCTGGGATTGTGTAAGTGTTCTCCTTTTCTAAATTTGTTGTAGCCTGTCTGCCCTAAGTTGTCAAATATTCACATCATGAAGAATTTAAGTTGCTTCATTAAGGTTTTCTGAAAGTCATCTTACTACCTTAGTCATGCTGTTAACAAACAAACAGTACTCAGGCTGCTTTATTTCAGCCAGCTTCTTTGTATTTTTGATAATGAATCAATTTTGGGTGCTAGTTTATTATTTTTTTTAAAGATTTTATTTATTTGACAGAGACATAGCAAGAGGGGGAACACAAGCAGGGGGAGTGGGAGAGGGAGAAGCAGGCTCCCTGCGGAGCGGGGACCCAGATGCGGGGCTCGATCCCAGGACTCTGGGATCACGACCTGAGCTGAAGGCAGACACTTAACGACTGAGCCACCCAGGTGCCCCTGGGTGCTAGTTTAAATTGTTTTATGATTCAACTGATTATAATTATTTTGATGTTATAACATTGATTCTAGACAGGAGTTGATAAAAGGTAGTTTGGATTATGTTCCTGTCTGAATGGATTTAGTATTAGAAATGTCACTGGGGAATTATTGCAAGATAATCTTTCATGCAAGGAGACTGATAAGAATTAGAACTCCAAGAATACATATGATGATGCTCCATTGTATTTGCAGTCAAATGCTCTACCACTGAGCTATACCCCCTCCATTGTATTTGGATTTAACTAGATGTCATAATTTGAACCTTTTCCAATGTTCATTTTATTTTATTTATTTTATTTTACCTGTATTAATAGTGTGTTTTACTCCATTGTTTTTTTCCCCTTTCAGATATTTAGTGTAATGAATGATATAATGATATAAATCTCTTTGATATTTCCTTGCTGAAATATCTTGATGGTACAAAGTACATTTACATTTAAATATGCTCTACTGCTTCTCTACTTAAAAAAAAAAAAAGTACCATTCAAGAGACGTTAACTGTAATTTCTCCTCTGTACAGCACTGATTCTTAGAATTTTTTTTTTTTTGATTCTTAGAATTTTTAACTTCATTAGTCCCTTCAACAGAGAAAGAAAAAAACAAAAAACCTCACTCAGTTGTTTGTATACAGATAGGTCACCAATGAGATGTTTGATTTTTATCAGTTGTATTAAACACATTTTTATTTTAAACTAGCAACAAAAACAGTAACATTGTCCTATTGTAAAACCAGTGATATTTTCGGAAAATAGTCTGTAGATTCTGTGAAAGACCATTATTGCCAGTTAATGATAGCTCATGTTTGAACCTTGACAAATTGTGATTGCTGGCCAGTAGAAAAGAAGAGGCCAGGAAAAGTTGACCTCTTGATCTGCTTTTAATTTGAATTCTAAAAAATGGAGATATGATAGTTTTTCAGAGTGTATTCACCTATGTATGATTGATTCTTTTTCGCTCATTATGATGTAAATATATCTATACATACATATAGATATGACCTATTGCAGGATGTCAGTTGATATAAAATTTCAATTCAGAATGTAGTTTAATAGGTTCTGTTTATTTATTTATTTATTTTTAAAGATTTTATTTATTTATTTGACACAGAGAGAGACAGCTAGAGAGGGAACACAAGCAGGGGGAGTTGGAGAGGGAGAAGCAGGCTTCTGGCTGAGCAGGGAGCCCGATGCGGGACTCGATCCCAGGACCCTGGGATCATGACTTGAGCCGAAGGCAGACACCTAACGTCTGAGCCACCCAGGGGCCCCTACTAGGTTCTGTTTAAATTTAAATAATATATTCTGTTTGAGAGCTAGACAAAAATTATCTACATTGTTTTATTAATGTGTTTTGAAGAGCAGTGTCCCCTTGCTTTGTTTTGTTTCCAGTATAATCTGGAAAGCAGTATACTTGGAGTGCTGAAATACTGGAATTTTATATTTGCTTATATCCATTCAGTTTATTCATTTTTCTTTATGCTGTCATTTTTCATATTCTTTAGTACCACTATCTTGCGATTATAGAAACAGCTCTGTTAAAGTTTCTTTATAGAAAATATAATTTAAAAAAATAGAAAATTATAATTAATTACATGAATTCAGTTTCAGAAGTAACATAAGAATTTTATATTTGACTTTTCACTTTTATTGGTGTTTTGTCCCTGTGTAGTAAAGCTTTATGGTGATCAAAATAATAACAAATATTTTAAAGCAACTAAGAATCCAAATCTTAGTCTTTTTCTTATTTAATGCTACTATTTCTGCTTGCTGTTTTTCTTATTCACAGTCCTAATTATTAATCTGATCCCTTAAAACTATAACTGTATCCTAACAAGTTAGTATTTAGCTATTCTTTTTAAATTTCAATTTGTTTTTTGCATGTTGGGGATTAAAAATTCCTCTCCCCTAACTAAAGCTCCTTTGAAATTATTTTAACATAACTTTGCTCTCTGTTGTATGTATTGTTTTCTTTTCTTCCACTTTGACTACAAATTCCCTCAGGTCTCCGCTGGTTCATCCTCCAAGCCATGGATGCCGCTCGACTCACAACAGCCCAATTCACACTGCTACTGGCTCACGACTTACTCAGAACTTCTCTGTGTCTGTTCCCACTCTCATCTATACTGGTACGAGACTGCTCAGACTCAAGAGTTGGGGAAGGCAGGCCACAGGCAGAGTGGCTGCAAAGAGCAGGCAGGCAGGTGGTGTAGTGTAGGCAGGTACCACAAGTCTTTGCTTCCTCCTTTTCTTACTTGAAGTCCAGCTGCAGTGAAGAAATCCAGTATATAGCCTCCACAGAGGCTCTAACTACTTTGAAGTGAAAGTGTTCTTCTAGCTTCCAAAGTCTCTTCCATAGATCCTGTAAGACCCCTATCTTATGTATGCATCCTGTAAGTTTTTAGGAGTATCCTCCAGTATGTGTTTTATTTACCATTATTTCTGCATTTGGTTAGAAATAAAATTGATGATTGGATTCTAAATGAAATAGCTGTCAAAGCTTCTGATTTGCTTATTTTATTATGTACAAAACCTTTTACATAGTAGGGTCCAGTTTATTCTATGGAAGAGAGCTATTGGAAAACAGGTAAGCAACTCTTCTGCATAAAATGCAATGGTTCTGTGTAGCTATATTCATTTTTCTCTCTGCTGTGTTTTTAGCTGTGGCACTCTTGATGCTATAGGATAAGGAAACATTTTTCTTTTGAAGGTATCTGTGTGTGCAAATATAAAAACTATTGTGAATATTTGCACACACCATTTGCAGCATCATTTTTTTTTTTGTAACTTAAAAAAGCATTGTTTATTTGGAAGTATTTTCAGTCATGTATTTATTTTATTTTTCCTTTTAATATTTTTTACCCCCTTAGTCTGTCATTTCATGCTTCTTTGCTTTTTTACTTGGCTTGTTAACTGTTTAAGTGCAGATAATTATTTATCTGGAGAATGATGAATGGTTGAACAGCAATTGGTTGTCTTTAGCCTCATACCCAGCTCCACACTTAAGAAATGACTGCTGGCCCTGCCCAATACTTTCCTGGTGTTTGGATCATGCTGCCTTCCGTCAGGTCCTTTGGCACATGATTGCTTAATATTTCTCCACCTTCTTCTGGCAGGATTCCCTTCAATGAAGATCCCAATCCCAATACTCACTCATCAGGACCCTCAACCCCTCTGAAAAACCAAACTTATTCCTTTTCACCTTCCAAGTCCTACAGTCGACAGTCCTCTTCTTCTGACACAGATTTGAGTTTGACACCCAAAACTGGTAAGGCGCTTCCACCCACCTTTTTCTTTTTCTTTCTTTCTTTTTTTTTTTTTTTTTTCAAATTTGTTTCTGTTCTTTATTAGCTTTCCATCCAAGGCTTTCCTCCTGTTTTTGGCATTTAAGTTAAAAGATTATGTGAATACTGATCATTTTCAGTTACTATCATTAAAATATGAAAATTTCATATAGCTCAGAAATGATCTTGTTCAAAGATCTGCATATGTTGATTTAATCATAGTGTAGATATGAAGTCCAGAATTTATTTTTGCATGTAGACATTTTTCATTTCATGCTCATATTATGAGGAATAACATCTTAAAGCTTTTGAAAAGAAAGTAACATTAGTAGCTTGCAATCCAATTCCTCATGCAGTAGAAACATTTTTGAATTCATTTTTCTGTCTATTTCTGAATTTAATTCTAAGATTTTATTATGAAAAAATTTTTAGAACAATTGAAATGGTTATATTGGAGTACATATATCTATTTATTAACTTCTTGCTATTTAAAATGTTTGGTTTTGCTAATCTTGCTCTCTAGGTTAGAAAGTAGCATTTTTGCTTTACTTACTCTTACATATTTCTCAGTGTATGCAATTTATAATTTTTCCCTCTCCTATTTGTATTTTGATGAATAATTTCTGTGAGTTTTTATGAATGTTTTATGATAAAAATTGTTTAAAAAGTCAAATTATTTCATTACTTCTTAAAGTAGAATTAACTTATTCAAACCATTAAGAAAAGTGAAATGTAAAAAGTTAAAAAGTTAGTAGTTAGCAATTTTTGTAAATATTGTTTTTGTCTGGCAGTTTTCTCTCCAGATTGATGAAAACATTTTGCATTGTTCCTGTTCATTTTTATCATCTTTAATAACCTTTTGTGTGTTAGCAAGAAATTTATAAAATGATCCCAGATTTTATGAAAACAATGAAATCTAATTTGAAAACCAGTGCTAATTCTAAAGTAAAGAAAGGGCATTAAAAAGAAAGCCTGTAGATTTAGTATCTATTTTTATAAATGGAGTCACAAAATGTGAGGAAGATAATTATGAATACCTAATTATTTGAAAAGAATAGCTTTATTCTTTATTTACATATACATAATATGAGTAACATCTAAAATCATGAGATTTTTTTTAAAAGATATATTTATTTTAGAGAGAGTGAGCGAGTGAGCATGCGCACATGCTCGCAGGGATGGGGCTGCAGGGAGAGCAGAGAGAGAATCCCAAGCAGACTCCCCGCTGAGCATGGAGCCCCATGTAGGGCCAATCCCATGACTGTAAGATCATGTCCTGAGCCGAAATCAAGACTTGGACACTCAACCAACTAAGCCATCCAGGCACCCCAAATCATGAGATATTTGATAGTAATTGATACACGGAATGTGGCATCTTAACCATATTTATGCCATAAAAACTGAACCATTCAAATGGTAGTGAAGTGTTGTTTTTTTTTTTAATAAAGGATGAGATTCTGGCCTTCAAATTAATGCCTAACAAAACAAGAAAGACTTAGGATAGTATTTGAAGAATGAGTTTTCTTAAAAATATTTTTTCAGGCTTTGACCACTGGTTATTTGTGTATTCCAGGCTACTTTTCGATATTTTTATCTTTATTTTATTCTTTGCCATAACCACAGACAAATTTTTGGAAGTCTTTTCTTGGTCTTTCTGTTTTCTTTTCTTTAATTCACCAAAAAGACCAAGTCTAAAAAAAGATTGTCAAGTAATAAGTTAACTGAATCAGATTTGTCTTCCCTTAGCTTTCTTGTAGGCAGTCAATTATATTATCAATTAAAACAGTTTTGCATTTTATGTTCTAGTTCCAAAATTTTAGTTTTTAAACATTCATTTATAAGTTACTATTCTCATGTATTTCTGTATTTATCAGATGCCTTTAGATAATTTTGTTTTTCTACTATCATATGCTACTCACTATCTTTAATAGCATATTTATAGAACATTAACAGTATTTTCGCTTATCATGAATCCCTAAATATCTTTAAATATTCCTGAGGACCATTCCAGAAGAGATTTGAAATGGCAAAATTATGATTGTTCTAAAATTTCTAAAACTATAACTGAGTGTGTATTTCATAATTCTCTGCTTTCAAATTTACCTATATACCAAATCAGTCTCTTGAGAAATAGCGGGGATAAGCTGATTATGATTGATTGATTATATGTAAACTGGGGAACCAAAAATAGAATAAAATTAATAAAGCTTTAGACTGAGAAAGTTGGGTTTCTATTTGTAGTTAAAGCTATTGTCTTTTTTTTAGATAGGTCTCATTTAAAAAATTCATACTGATTCATTTCTGTAGATTCTAATTTTTGACATTTTACAAGGTTTCATTTTCATATTTTTTTCCAAGTATTCAACTAGTAGGAGTGGAATTTTAGAATGCTAGTTTTAGGGTATTGATTTGACACCTGACTCAAGCTAATTTTTGCTTTAAAAAAAAAAAAGAAAGCTTTTAACCATGTATAATTTTTGTGATTTGAGAGTATTTGCCCCTTACATACTCAGATCTTTGTAAATGTGAACAGTGTTATGATCAAACCTGAATATTTAAAATTTTAGAGGAAAAAGAAAAGTAGTAATATACATCTCAAAGATGAACAGAAAGAAGTTAGTATTTATTTCAAATTAATGATGGCAACTATTGAATATGGTGCTGTTTTTTTATGGGTATTCAGTTAAAATACTCATAAGTGATATGTTTTAGTAACGTTTGAAGAACTGTACTTTGCCACTTTAAATAATGTTTATATTTGAGGCAGTAAGTTTCTGGCTTTAAAAATGTATAAAATTTACATTTTAACTTTATACGTTCTTAAGCAAAAAAAGGCGGGTAATTTAAGTGTTTTTGAGAAATCAGCTCCAAGTGATTAGAATGGCATAAAATCCCATGTTAGTGATTTAAAAAATTTTAATAAATGCAAAGTTTATAAAGGTTTTGCTAGGTTTTAGACTGTTCCTTTAATTTATATTGTGTTGGGTAGAGGGTCTTGCTAATGACTTCATATGCTTAGTGTAATTTATGTAGCATTTTAAATTCCATTTTTACTGTTACGTTTTGCATCATCATTGCTTTCCTTATTCTGCATTTTCTGGTCATCTTCTGAATCTGCATCTTTTCTCTGCTACTTTCCTCCACAGCACCTTACTCACAGGGGCCTAGGATTTACCTGTGTCCCAGCTCCCCCTCTCTCTCTTGTGGTTCCCTTCATCTTAAAAAGTCCTGTCTCCTCCTCTCGGAATCTAGCCTTCCCCCTCATCATTCTAGCCCTGTCAGCCCAGTTCTGAGGAAAAGTGTTTCTTTCAGTGAAGAGCTGTTCCTGGCTGCTTCTGGTAGGATCACATTATGTCAGCTTTTTAATCCCTTTATTTTAAATCACCTTTGAAAACAAGTAATTATTTCATACTATAAAGAAGTGTTGGGTGTCTTACACAGGGTGTACTTCTTGTTTTTCTTACTGGTGCACAGAATTAAATAATTATGATGATCGTGAGGACATGGTTGAAGATTACTTGATGGATAATTATGAATATTCTGCTGAAATTATTTTATTTATTAAAAAATTATATGTCTGAGGACATAGATCTGCATATTTCCAGTGATTGTTGGGTTCTCATTACTAGAGTTTCTGTTTTAGATGCCTTACTTTCTTTCCCTTCACACCAACTCCATTCATATCAGACCTGCACCATCATGTTGCTAAGCCATATGGTTACATTAGTAAATTATTCTGTTTGAATCAGTTTAAGTCTCATTTTGGTGGTATTCTTTCTTTATCCATTTTTTTTTCTGTCCATTGCATTAATTTTCAAGTTATTCTGCTGTATTTTCTGATGTTTTATTTATCTCTACAAAATTACATTTTATTTTATGGCTTTCAATATGCTTCATATAAAGATCTTAGTTTCATTTCAGTGTTTAGTATTGTATAGTCTCTAAAAAACATATTTAGGTTACTACAAGAAAAATATGTTCCTTTTTTATTTTTAAAGAACAGAATGGGACTATACACATGCTAACCTTTGTTTCCTTATCCAAGAACAGCTAAAAATGTAAAAGTAAATTAGTTCCTTTTTTAAGTCATTGCAGTAAATCTGACTGTGTGTATCTTCCATTTTGAAAGGGTGGGACTGACTGTTAACTCTAACCTGTAGGGCCCGTAGCACCAGAGAGCACTGGCTTCTCACCTGTCCCCTGCTGTCTGTAATTCTCTGATCGCAATTGGTCTATTGGTACTATCAAAAGAATAAAATAAAGTAGGGAAAGAAATTAAAAATTAAGCCTTTAAAAAATACATCTAAGAGCTTGGGAAATATAATTCTTTTCATCCATAACTATGTACATTTGTGATGTGTCTATTATATGTCTGTGATTTTTAGTTTTTAAAAATATTTTATGTTGATTTTTGCCAGTGAGTATTGAAAACTATGAATGTTAATAGTGTTTTGTCATGGATGATATATTTAGGAATGAGAAGTTATCAGAAAATAGATTTGACTATATTTCAAAATTGCCTAAAATTCATGCTATTTAGAGAATTTTGGAATATTTTAAGTAAGCACAATTAAAAGTGCTTCTCCTCTCTATAGTTCCTTTTAAACAAGCATTTGATGTTTCTTGGTTTCTTTTAGTATTCTTAAATTGTTAGCGTAGTAAGTACAGTTGACCCTTGAGCAACACACCCCTGCACAGGTTGAAAATGTGCATGTAACTTTGATTCCCCAAAAGCTTAACTATTAATAGCCTACTCTTGACCACAAGCCTCACTGATAACATAGTCAATTAACACATATTTTGTTACATGTATTATATACTGTATTTTTGCAATGAAGTAAGCTAGAGGAAAGAAAATGTTACTAAGAAAATCATAAGGAAGAGAAAGTACATTCACAGCACTGTACTGTATTGAAAAAAATTCATGTATAAGTGGACTGTGCAGTTCAAACCCATGTTGTTCAAGGGTCAATTGTAATTGGTAGTATCTTGATTATTTTGTATTAGAAGACTCAACTTTTAAAAATTGAATATTATACAAAAATTCATTACATTAACATAATTTAAAAAATAAGTTTTAGAACAGATTGAGTCTAAACAAATAAGTTTAAAACTGATCAGTACAGTTTTGACATCTTGCTTCTAAAGAAAACTTTGTGAATAAAATAGAGTAAGATATGTGCTTAATTGCATGTCAAATACTTTAAATGTTTGGATCATTTTAAGATTTTGACTCATGATATTTATGAAGATGAATGCAGTTAAACTGTTTCTATAGTTGTTTTTTGGTTGTTATTTATGTACTGATGTTCTGTAGGAATGGGAAGTGGTAGTGCTGGAAAAGAAGGGGGGCCATTTAAAGCTCTTTTAAGACAACAGACTCAGTCAGCACTGGAACAAAGGGTAAGAGACATTCAACATTCTTTATTCTTACACTGTTAATATGCTTTTACTATCATGCTTCCATGTATTTATAACTTATTTCCATAAACTAGTTTTGATCATGTATCTGTAATGTAGTTTCAGAGTCCAAAATTTATTTAAGGTATCAAAGAAATTTGTTTATGAATAATTAATTTTAATTTGGAATAATTCTGTAACTTTTTTGTTTTGTTCTCCAGTTTTTTATTAGAAATAGTCTATTTGGAAATATCCAGTGAATGATGAAATCATTTCTCATCTTACCTTAAAATTATAATATATAGAAGGAAATAGTAGACTTTTTCCGGAAAAAAATATTTTAGTTAATTCTTGGGGTGCTTGGGTGGCTCAGTTGGTTAAGCATCAGACTCTTGATTTCAGCTCAGGCCTTAATCTCAGGGTTGTGAGATCAGGCCCGTGTTCGGCTCCGTGCTGGGCATGGAGACTATATTAAAAAAGAGAAAAGAAAAGGTAATTCTTTAGTGTATTAATATATTTATATGCTGAGATTAGTTTTATGGCTGGCCAATCTCTTAGGGGTAAGAAATGCACAGATTCAGTATTTCTACAGATTAACATAAACAATGTGGTTATTTGGTATGTGAATACATCTCTTTTAATTATTATAAGTTTAATGTTTAGTTAACTATGTTAAATGGGAAAATAGTCAAAATTTTTGGATGATTTTTCTCTTTTTATTTTTTATTTTTTGTATAAACTTCATTGCTAAGGGAGGATCGCCTCATAGGTTCTGTAGAAGGCGGGTATGTTTCTGAACATGTGTGAGAGCCTTTTTCTTGTATTGGTAGCTGTTCTAGTTTTAATCTTGATCATTTAAGTTTTATTTAAGCTTTAACAAATGTTGCCAGCTTTATTTCTTTTCGTAATGCAATTTTTAAAAATTTATTAGCATTATGAGGCTCATTTTTTTTTCTACTTAACGAATACAGTGCATGATTATTTATATGTTATGTCAGTTATTTTAAGGCACAGTTCCATAGCTTTCATTGTGTCTGATTTGCAAGTTTATAAGCATTTACAGAATTTTACATGTTCCATTTTATACTAGCATTAAAAAAAAAAGATGAAACGGTAAATACCTATAAAAGAATGCATTTTATAAAAAAAGGTACTTCTTTTCTAGAGGTTAGCTTTTGAGAATAGTGTGTTTACAGATTCTGTGACTACAAGCAATGTAACAGTTTACTTTTTTTAGACTTTCTTTCCTGTGCAGAAAGTATCTGTATGCACTGTTTGCCTTTTAGACAAGGTTGTGGGGAGCAGAGCAGAGCTGAGCTGAGCTAAGCAGAGTGATGAGACTTTAGCGACACACAGTTGTTTGCCTTATCCCTTACCAGGCAGCAGTTGGGCTTGAGCTACTTTCACACCTTGCAGGCATACCAGCTACTGTCATACAAAAGCCCACTTAAACATTGGGACCATTTATTAAAACCAAATAGAGAAAGAGACTGAAAACACAGAGAAGAGGGTCAGGGTGAAGGTATGCCTGTTCACTTACGTTTTTTTAGGCCAGAATACTCTTACTTTCTCTCCGCTCCCAGTTTTACATTCTCTGTAGAGTTCCTTACATTAGGAGTATTTCCTTGTAATTGTCATTCTACAATTCACAGGAACAGAAAAACTGATATGAAATATGAGATTTTGCCTGTATCTTGTGCCTGTGACTTCATTATCTATATTAAGAACTTCCGAAAACATCTAGCTTCAAAAGAAGAAAAAAACTAATCAATAAAAATTGTTTTAGATTTAGTTTGGATAAAATTTATGTTTTCAAATATGCTTTTAAACATTCTTAAAGTTTTGGACACATCACATTGGGCATACATTACTAGATAATCTTTATGGAATTAATGGTAAAGATGTGGGAGAACTATAGTTTTCATTTATAACCTTGTAAAATCTGAGTTGGCAATATATTTATGTTACCTAACCCTGAGTAGTTACTTGACTTTGTGAGACTACCTCTCTGTCCTGGGTACACAATAAATAGAACAAACATCATTTTTAGCTTTCCCATTAACCTGTGGTTGCCATTAGTATGTCTTTGTTTTGGGGAAAAAATTTGTTTAGAAGTATGAAGAATTCTCCTCACATGTGTTCAGATAGGCCTTAACTCTGCCAAGTCGAATACTAGGTCAAGGTGAACAAATGATATACTTAATACCATTTTTATATTCATTTTTTTAAAGATATTCATTTCTGCCCCTTGCCACCCTTCATAAAATGTATGGCTTTTTTTTTTTTTTCTTGAGGAAAAGAGAACCTTTGTCCAGCATCTTTTATTTAATGGGTTCAAGTAGCAGTTCTCAAAAATAAAAGTGTTATTTTTTTCTTTCACAAAATCCGTGAAAAATAAATTGACATGATCTTGGTAATAGGTGTCAGATGATTAGGAGATAAGATGTAGAGATAAATATTTGATTAGATTTAGGTTCCACCTATGAACTATTTGATGTAAAGCAAATAGATTTATTTTTCAATATGACTCTTCTTTCACTTGTAAGAAAAATGAAGTTACTTTTCAGATGCTGGGATTTTTTTCTTCAATAAAGAAACCTAGTTGACTTGGTTTAACCTAGTATTTCCCAAATATATTTTAAAATGGAATCTTCCATGTGAAATACCTGTTAGTGACGACCACATTTTGGGAAACATTTATATAAAGCAAACTCTTTTGATAATTATGTTTTTAATAGTGGGGTAAAATTATACAATAAATCATAGTAGGAATCTGGCACGGAGTTTTCTTATGTAGAAAGTTGACTCGTTTCTTGGGATAATAAAAAGAATATTTGATTGAAAAAATAAACTATTTAAATATATTCTGAGAAAAATTCTATTTAAATGTTAAAAAATTACTCCCGTTGTGTCCCCAGATTTTCCAACTAGCCTGTCTTTGAACACATGGTATTAAATAGATTTATGCTGCATGCACTTGGCTTATTGTCAGAATGTCAACATACGAATTCTTACCTAGTGGTACCACAAGGCAAGGCACTTTAAATATTAGGACTTTGCAGAGAAAATGGCTTCTCTGGTCCCTGAAATTCTCATCTAGGCATTGGAAATGGATTGGGCTTGGCTGATCTTAAGGAAGCTGTTCTTTTCAATGGAAGAGAACCTATAAAGTCATCAGGTATAATGATAGACTAGAGATTAAAACCAACTCCTTGTCTGTTTTAATCAGATATTTCAAGGAGCCAGATGATAAGGTTTGTTGCTCACATAGAGTCTAGGCCCTCTTGACTCTCACGTTAGGGTATGGGAAAGATTATAAAGCATAGTTTTAAGATACTGTGCAGAGGTCTGGCACTCTGTAAGCACTTCATAGTAGTCACTATGTGATGGGGGTGGAGATGAGGGGTATTTAACAGTCACTGGTAGTCACTGGTGTCACTGGTGATGGGGGTGGAGATGATAGATATTTTAGCAGTAGGTATCAGCCATAGTTCTTCTGAGAGAGTTATTTGAAGATGTAGTTTTGGTTGAATAACCATACCATTTTTATGTACTCCAGGTTAAATTTTGTGTGTTAAAGTAGGTGTGCTGATTGGACATATAGGACAGAGTTTAAGTTGGCAGAGTGGTCGTCCGCCTCTTTGGGCAGCCATTCCCCTACTTTTTCTGCTTATGACCACCAACTCTAGTGTGATGCTTTCCCTGTTGTCCCTTTATCCCATCTTCTGGAATTTGGGGAGAAGAGTCCGAATCTCAAGCAGAGAAGTCATTTAGGTTAATTTTTATACCTACCTAAATTCTTATATGCAGATGTTTTCCAATATGTGAATTTACGTAACTTATTTCTCAGTTTCAGAAGGAAGTACAGCTTTCCATTTAGCTTATAAAAATATTATTTTCAGTGTCTCTTGTCCAGGATATTTAAAATATTTAAGTATAAAGATTAAATGTAAAGTACTTTTTTCTAATATGCTTCAGTATTTTGAGGAAATTTAAAAACTGTGTACTTAAAATTGAAAAAAAATCATAAAGGCCTAACTTAGATAAGATATTTAAGTTTCAAATAGCATAAGCTTATTTGTATATGTCTCATTTAAAACTTATATTTAAAAAATTCAGGTGGAAATGAGGCATTTTGAGTAAACATTTTATAATTCATGTAAGTGAGATTCCCCTCCTATCCTCTCCCTTTTTTCTTTTTGCCTGTCAGCTGGGCCAAACCTGTCTATTTCCATAGATTGGTTTTTACTTTTTTTTTTTTTAATGTAGCCCAGGTTTTTCTTACCCTTGTTAATTTAAATATTACTTTTAAATTCTAACTGAATTTATTTCTAAATTCTCTCTATATTTTAAACTATATCTTCATGGGTTATTGAAGTGTGCAAGACTGTTTGCCTTTGTGCTAAATGACTCCAAGTTGCTATGCTTTGTGAATTATGCTTTGGTGAATTTGTATTCTCCATGCTTTAAGCAGCCAGTCAGTAATCTTGCTGCTTTTAATGTGCCTGCTTCTAGTAGTATTCTGTATGTCTTTATCTCTCAGCTTTTGTTTGCTGCATTTAAACTGCTATGGTCCAGAAAAAAAGATACTGCTAGACTTTAAAATATGTTCCTAAAATTATATGTTTATAATTGCTGTATGGCATAGTATGGATATGATCTATAGGGATTTCTTATGAATCAGGTACATAAATTTTAGTACTTGGAAGTGTAACAGTTCTTTTGACTATTGAGAGCTCTGTTTTGCTTATTTTCCAGCTCTCAGTTATGTTCTGAATAGCTGAGGCTACTGGCAAATGACTTCTGGTTAAGTGAGCTACATTAATCGTATAGCCAGATCAGGCAGATATTAAATTTCCCTTGCTTGTATCCAGTTTTGTGTAATGTGAGAGGCCTCTGTATTTGGAGAGTCACAAGAGCTCCCCTTTCTTCCTGGATGCTATTTCAATGAATTTCCTTTCTCTGTTTTCCCATTTCCCTCTTACCTCTAGATTGATGAGATTGATGTCCTTGAGAGAGAAGGGGAGAATGAAACTTGGAAGAACTTGTGGAATTTTATTTCCTCCCTTGCTGTCATCTACATTCTTCTCCCTTTTCCTTAATATGCATTTATGTACTTAAAATTTTCTCCAGCTGACCTGGTGTTGATAGAGTAGATAATCTTTTTTTTTTTTATTCTTATGTTAATCCCCATACATTACATCATTAGTTCTAGATGAAGTGTTCCATGATTCATTGTTCGTGCACAACACCCAGTGCTCCATGCAGAACGTGCCCTCCTCAATACCCACCACCAGGCCAACCCATCCTCCCACCCCCCTCCCCTCTAGAACCCTCAGTTTGTTTTTCAGAGTCCATCTTCTCTCATGGTTCGTCCACCCCTCCGATTTCCCCCGCTTCATTCCTCCCCTCCCGCTACCTTCTTCTTATTCTTTTTTTTTCTTAACATATCTTGCATTATTTGTCTCAGAGGTACAGATCTGAGACTCAACAGTCCTGCACAATTCACAGCGCTTAACAGAGCACGTACCCTCCCCAGTGTCTATCACCCAGTCACCCCATCCCTCCCACCCCACCCCCCACTCCAACAACACTCAGTTTGTTTCCTGCAATTAAGAATTCCTCATATCAATGAGATCATATGATACATGTCTTTCGATAGAGTAGATAATCTTACACAGCGATTCTCTACCCACTTCAGCTTGGTATTGCCCTTTGCGTTTCCCTGAATCTCTTAACCCACACTGTTCATTGTCCCACTCCTTCCTCAGTCCCACATTCTTGTAGATCTCTTGCACCAGGCCTTCAGTCTTTACCAGTAGCCTGGAATTGGGTGTGTGTATGTGAGGAGGATTCTGCCCCACTGAGAAGTAGACTCAGAGTAGAAGGGCAGGGAATCCCCACATCTCACTGTGAATTTGCATCAGAGTAGGAGATTGAGAGGAAGGAAGAGTGTGTTCAAAGATCTTAAATCGAAACTCTGAGAACCTTTTTTTCTCATTGAGAATTGATAAAAAGAGTGTTTGGATTCTGTATAACATGATGTATATGGGAAAATGGATTAGGAACTCTAAGCATCTAAGAAAACATTTAATTACAAAGCAAGTGTAATGTATAACTGGTAGCCTTTTGTTAAGGGATAGGATTCATATCTCATAGTATGAATATAATCTATTCGGATCAGGCTTTTTAACAAGCAAATTTTTTGTACTTTGCACATGATCAGTTATATTTTTCCCCCTTTATTTTTACTAGGAATTTCCATTTTTTACCTTGACGGCATTTCCTCCTGGATTTCTCCTGCATGTTGGGGGTGTTGTTAGTGCACGCTCTGTGAAGCTTTTGGATCGTATCCACAATCCTGGTATGTTCTTTAAAAGTTTGTTTTCAGTGTTTCACTTACTTAAACTGCGGTTATTAAGATTGATTTTTATAATTAAAAAAAATCAAATCTATCCAAAAAGAGAAATGAAAAGGAAAGTGTAAACTGGCATGTTGCTTTAAGTATTTGCAGTAATCCTAATTAAAAATGATCAAATAAGTAGAAGTATTATTTTAGTTAGGTTTTTATATAAAACAAACAAATCTTGATTCATTTTTTTGGCCAAGGCATCACTTTGAAGGAATTCTTAGGTAACTTTTCAGTCAGCTCTTTTCTTTGATCCAGGCAGATAACAAATTTCGCAATTAGACCATTGTGGCCATTATCTTAAGACGGTAATTCTTTTCACTAGCAATAACTCTTTGTAGATTATTTTAGTAATTTTCTTATTCCTAAAAGAAGTATTCCTTTGAAATGTAATTATAAACATTGTGTAGTGTCTAAGAATTAAAAAAAAAATAGTGCTGTCTGTGCATTCTCGGTTTCTTTTCTGAAGCTGTTTGTTCTATATAAGTGAACAATGAACAAGTAAGAATAGTAGCTCACTTCTTTAAAACATGGGGCCATGATCGTAAAAGAAGAAAGGCATCAAATCAATCCCAATATCGGGCCCTTGGATTAGGAATGTTTGATGGTTTTTCTAAATCCAAAATAAGCATGGCAAGTGTGGTAGAAACTTTCCATGTGGTGTGTGTTCTTGCATCTCTCATTGACTGGATTCCCAGTAATTTGCTCAAGGCACTTATTTTTTGATGACATACTAAAAAAGCTGAAGTTATGTTAGTATTCTTATTTGGCATATATACATACATATTTTTGAAAATTTTAGATTGTCACTTTCAATAACCTCTTCCTGAGGCTTGTACTGACAGCTACAAAAAGAGTAAAACACTTTGAAATTATTTTATGCAAAACATTGCAGATAGTGATTTTGCGGTTACAGAGCATTACCATTCTTTTAAGTTAAAAAAAATTTTAATCCGTGCCTTGTGGTTTGATGTCTTTTCAGTTAATAATTCCAGAGAAGCAGAATGGAATTTTTCCCAGAGCTTGAATGAGATTTCAGAAGAGGAATAGTAGCTAGGATTATCTAACTCTTAGAGCTGAACAAATATATCTTTTAAGCATTAGTCTTCTCTTTTTCTTCTCTGGTTTATTATTTTTTTCTGCTGTCCTTATTTTTTCTAATCAATTTAAGATCTTTTCTTCATGTAGTATTTGTATATTCTGTAGTAATTAAAGGCATATTTAGACTCATGCCAGTTTAATGTATTGAGACATTGGAGACTCTTCAAGTTCCATATCTTTGTGTTTAGGAACTTGAATTATTTGGAAAGTGCAAGGAAATACTGAGTTTTAATATACCTGACATTAACTGTGTGACCCAAGGCTTGTTACCTGCGTTTCTTTGGACCATTGACTCAAATATTTTGATAGATGGTGCCTACTGATAAGCTCCAAAAATGGTTTCAGGAATAAATTTAACTGTTGGTGATGTCTTCTGTTTACTGAAAACATTTTGATTTTATTGTTGCTTCCATGTACTCTGAGTAAGCTATAGAGTCTGGGAGAACAAACAAAGGTTACTTAAATAAGTTTAAGTAGAGAGCTGTATTTAAAATCCTATTACTTTTTACAAAAAACCCTTTTTTGGGGTTTATCATACTTGCCAGTTTGTTCTAGTGGTGTGATAAATGTAAGAATCCAGGCCCAGGGAAGAATACCGGAATCTTTATTACAGAATACATTTTGTGTATTGTAATTATCAGCTTATCCATTCTCTTCTTTTCCTCCCCTTTCAGAATATTTTTTTCAATTCACATGTAGGAATTCTCAGTTACTAATGTACTTATTTCCCAAAAGATTATGGACATATAAATATAAATGCTTTTAATGATATATAAGTTATATTTTAATTTTTGTTTTATTTTCCGTTAAATACAAATCAACTATATATTCTAATGGTTTCAATATTACATTATTTTGATACAAAAATCACATTCTTTGGGTTGTTTTATATATGTATTATGCATTAAAAAAGGAAGATTTTCTTAAGAACATTTTATTGATGTTCTTAATATTTCATAAATAATTATTTATGAAAAAGATTTAATTTGTTGAAAAAAGCTGAATGTTAAAACAAAAAAAACCCTCTAGATTAGCATCTACCATGATGATGTTTTAATTTTATGACACTGAGTTACTCTGCTGAGAGAAAAACTTAAGATGGATTGAGATGCATGTGCTGTTAAAAATGCTGTATTTGCACTCTCAAATGACTCTTGCAGTTATTTTTTGTCTAGTGAAAATGGGAAATTTTCATTTTACACTGAGTGTAGAAGGAATAAAATCTTATTTTAAAACCACTGCCACCTGCTAACTATGGATTATTATTTTGGAGTTAGTTCTTTTAGAATTTTCTCCTTTGTTAAATATTAAACACCAAGGAAAAGAATGGGGTGGTTTTAAAAATCAAAGTCATTATCTTAAACAACTAGACTTTAGTTAATGTTAGATTATGATAGCATGCTCCTTCTCTTTCTATTTCTACTTCTTATTAACTCTGCTGTCTGTGTCTTTCCAATTCCTGTCAAGTGGTATTGTCAATTGTGTTCTTGTTTGTAGTGTTTTTTTGTTTTTTTCCTACTATTCTGCACCTAAAACTGATCTACTAATTTGCTGTTTTGAACTCAGCCTTTGTCGGAATTATGGGTAACACAAGATCTTACAAACTGCTAGACTGGAATAGTTTCAATTCAGGTATTTTGATGGTCATTCAGTACTACATATGCTGACAAAAATTATGGCAGCTCAGTGAAGTTTTTAGAAATGTTCTAGATTAAATAGGTTTAATGTCAATTCAGTTATACAGATACATTCTGCAGTACATATGTTATAACTCTTATAGTTTCCATGGAAATGCAAATATAAAAATGTGTTAACTAAAATGAATTAACCAAAACCATAGAAATACCATAAATTACAAATGGCTTTTGTTAGGTGATTAACTTTCAAAAACCTTAATTTAAATTATATTTATTACATTTTTGACAGTTTTTCATATCAGGTAAATAACATAGGCATTAGCTTTACGATTAAAGAAATATTAATTGTTAATTAAATGGCTAGTTTGATAAGCTTAAAGTATGTTTAAACGTTAATTTAGATTTGAATATAATATATTTAGTATTCTATAAGTACTATAAAATTGTAACTATTACCATTTTTATTTATAATTCCAGAAGTGTTTCAAAATTTGGTAAGTAAGAGCAGATTTGGAGGGATTAACGGCTTTCATAAGCTCCCTTCCTTCCCCTTTCATGTGAGAATATAATTTTTCTTTTTAAGTAATTTTACATATGGATATAGTTTATAGCTTTTAGAGAAACTAAACTAAGATAACTTTACAGCTGATGATGTGGTTTAGAGTCAAAGCCAATTTTTCTTTTTGATAAAAGTATATTCTTTTAATATAAATATGTAAATTTTTGTGTTATTTTTGGAATTAAATAATAAAACCATTTTGATTCAGTAATAGAAGCTGGTATTTTGCCTGAAGGATTTTACCAGTTCTTTGTGTCAGAAAGTATATATCTATTTATAGAAAAACAAAAACACCAAGAGGCTCAGCATTTTAGATAATATCCCATAATCTTTTCAATATTGTAAACTTTTTTTGTTCTTAGGAGTCCAGGATGTAAGTTCTGATGTAAGTAATGCATGTTTGACTATGAAGTATCTCATGTTCATCATGCAGATTTACCTAAGTTCAGTCTAGTAAACAATCTGATCAGGTCCAACCTTTGCAGATTTAGACTAACTTCAATTGGTAAATCTTCAGGGAAATTAACTCTAACTCCTATCCAAGTTTTTGCCAGCATGTTATCACATTGATTAGAATTAAAATAATCACTTTTAATGTAATATGTTATACTTGGTTTTTAGTGAGAAAAATACCCTGCTGGATTCATTTAATAAAAATAAGAATATATTTTTAAAATGTAGGCAGATTAGTGTATAGGAAGTGAAAAAGCCTAATTATGTAAGAAAAGGACATTGGGAATAGACTGATCATTAATAATTTAAGGAGCTTAAACGTTGTCAGGGCAAAGATGTTTAGGGTGAGATGTGTGTTAGATGAAAGAACAGTCTTGGAAAGTAGACAAGAAGTTAAATCTTATAGATATAATCCTTTGTCCCGCATAAGCAGAACTACAGAATTTGGCAAGGAGAAACATGGTTGAGGAAGCAGTATATCTTGCCATCATTTAAAATAAAGTCAGGTAGTGAGTGTATGAGAAAAAGGTGGATATAAGTTACAGAATATTAAAAGAATATCAAAGATGACTTTCACTTTAATGTTCTCATAGCTCTGTGCTTTTGACTGAGATATTAGAATCTTTATGCTAACAGTACTATTCAGAGATCAGGCTGATTTTGATATTAGGTTAAGAAAAATAATGTGGTAATTCTGAAATATAAAAACGTAATATTTGAAAAATATATTCAAATCATTTATGTATTCTTCTCTGTGATTAAGGAATAAGTTAGCCATTGCTGTCCTGTATTATTACCATAGAAAATCATGAATTGGCCACATCAGTAAGAAAAATAATTGTTGGTATAATTTTTATTAATGTTAGAAATTGTTCATCAATACTGTATTTTCTGGATTCTCTGACACCATTTATTATGTGAGGTATCACCAATTTAATAATAGCTTTCCAAGAGAAAAGAGAAAGAAACATTACCATATTTAGTATATTGATTAATTATTACACATTTTTATTTCAGAAACATTAAAGTGTGGAAAGATATAAGAACACGTTTTTATCACACAGTAGTATTTCATGAAATATGATCTGTCGTGCAAGCATTTATTAGAACTTATTTTGTGCCATATGGTTTGCTAGATGATAGGTGTGCGAAGATGCCACCTCTGCTTTCACGAAAGTCATATTCCAGGAGGTTAGAAAAAATATGTTAATGGTTTACTGTGTGGTATGGTATGGTGCGATATAAGATACAGAATTAAAGAGGAAGGCGTGATTAACTACGTGGCAGGGAGGCTTGGAGAGGTAATTCTTGAGTTTAGTTTGAAGGATATATAAAAGATTCACACAGATTTTATATTTCAGACAGTGTATTTGGAGGCATATTGTTCCATCCTTTGAATGTAGTTCTGAAACTTTAGTAGTGCATTGCAAAACAATACCCTAGCCATTACCTATTTGATGATGTTTACATAGTTACTTCATACCCATTGTTTGCCATTGAATACAGAATGTCTTTGTTAGTTCAACTTTTTTTGTGTATTTCCCTTTTTCTCCTGCTTTGCTGTCTTAGGTTGTGTTAACTACAGTGAGAGGAAATATTTTTATATAGCAGGAAGAAGAAAACTCAATTATCTGAGAATTTATTTTAAAATTACTTTATTACCTTTTCTTATCTTGCTTCTTATGTTTCTGGCCTGGTAACAGACTTTGAGAAAGACAAGGATGAATCTTGCTGCTAGAAAGGAGGAAGCAGCATTTGCATCTTGTGTATGATATGCCAGGAACTGGCTGCATAGGAATAAGACGGTATCCTGTGGTCACATTTGTATTAGACCATTGATTATAGAAGGGAGAATGGATTTAAAGGCAGCAAGCCTAGAGACAGGGAGGCCAGTTGGTTGACTGCAATACTCCTGGCCTGGTAAGTGACCTAGGATTTGGTGGTGATAGGAGAGCTAAAGTTTATAGAGCCCTTACTATGTGCCAGGCACTCTTCCAAGTGCTTTATGATAGTAGGTCATTTAATTCTCAAAACACAGCTCTGAGATAGGCATTTTTTCTATTTTGTGGTTGGGCAAAATGAAACATAACAATTTTCCCAAAGTAAAATAGAAATTTGTTGAGCTACAGTGTGAACCTAACTACTCTGGCTTCAGGGCTTACACTCTTAACATAAATTTAGAAAATATTTAAAATGTAAAATCAGCAGGACTTGGTAATTAGAATGTGGCAAGTCAAACAGTCTCTTAGCAACTTTGAGCTGAGAGAAAGATAGATTAGGATTATCCCACATAGCTACAAGTCTAAAATCCCAGTGAGCAGTTGAATCCTATCTTTTGGAAACCCAAGTATATTTGAAAATTGAGTTGTAAAAATATTTTAAGAGTAGATTTTAAAAGTTCTAGCTCATTGTTTCTTAAATGGCTATGCTCTTTTTTTTTCTTTCTTTCTTCTGAGTTTACCACTGAAAGTATTTCTTTTTTATTTATTTATTTATTTATTTGAGAGAGAGAATGAGAGAGA